TATTCCTGAAACTATGTATAACAAAATCTATTCCTATATATTCCTAAACATACATGAAGGTGGGCTTAGGCAGAACTGAACCTATCCTTATCTATTCTTCAACTGGCATGGATGAATAGGCATAGCTAAATCTATCGCTATCTATTCCTAAGTATGTATAGGAGTGTACTACCCAGGTCAACAAATCCGATCGAATCTCACCGGATCCGACCATTCGACAAAATCCGATCGGATTCCTGGAAACGAAATTGCACTGGAATCCGACTACAGAAATCCCGTCGGTTGTCACAAATTTTATGAGCGATCTTTTTAGCTATGTTCTATGGTGACTCAGGAAATCCATGTTTCGGATCTGAGTATGGAATTTTTCGACCTGGGTAGGAATCCATCACTTATATTATAAGTCGAATCAGGCAGCTACTCTCAAGATTTCAAAAATCAAGTGCAACAAATAATCCAAGAGTTTTACATGGGACTTGGGGAAATACTTGGTGGTCAATTCTAGTCAAATGGTACACGAAAGAAGACTTTAAAGTGATCGCAGATAGTGTTCGCTTCATCACTTGTGCTTATGTTTCCACATGCTCACGTTCTCACTTTTATTTGTTGTTCTTATGAGTCGTCTGTCTTGAGATTGACTTCTTTTTTAACTAAACGAAAGTAATAGAAATATCAATGTCTTTGGAGTTATGTGTCGTTGAAAAACGATGCATACACTAGAGAAAAGCAAATAAGCATGTTTATTTCTACGCATGTTTCTAACTACAAATCTTTGAACTTTAAAACTTTATTTATCGAAAGGATTTCGTGTTACGCCTTCGTTTTGATATTGAGACGCACGATAATTCGGTCGCGCAGTAGCGTGCCCATATAAGGGTGTTCTATGTGTGGGCAAAGTAGCTTGTGTGTAAAGACGTGTTCGATGAGTGCGCATTGTATGCATTTGTGGTGCGGGTGTCGCTTCCGTTGGCAATGGATTGCGTTTACTTTCATAGCCATCGCCGATTTCCCATCGTTGAAAGTCGTTCCAAGCACTTAATTTTGGACAAAAACGTTTGCCCAACAGCGAACACTTTTCTTCATAAGCTTTTCGAGCTTCACGTTTCTGCTCTTCACACTTGCTCTTTCCTGGATGGAAAAATGTTCGACGATTTCGAAACAAGAAGTGTAAAGCTTCGTTGGGCTCAACTAAAGAAAGATCAATTCATTTCAGAATCTGCAATTAGCCGTCCAAAATAGACAAACTTTGAAATTCATCGTCAGATTCCGATGCCACCATGACCATGAAAATCACGAAAATAAAAAGACACGCCGTCTAGAGCCATAAATTGAATATAGGAAATAAAGAAAAGCAAAATATATGTGTACATTCAAAATGTCCAAGTACCTTCATATTCAGATAGCTGTGTGTCTACGAATGAGAGAATCGAATTGCTGCGTTTCCTATCTCTCGACTATCATCGGAATCCATACATAAAGCAAATTACTCGTATGAAGAATATCATTTATCATGCAACAATAACATTATCAAGTAGAAGTTGAAAGCTATATTATCGCCTAATATGTCATTTCTATGTTTGTCCTAACTTCGAAGAGACGAAAAGTATTGCTTGATGGTTTATAGATATCGTAAACTTCAGTTACTAAGCAGAATGATTTCGACAAACTCCATACATTCAACGCGTGATCTATTTACGTATATAAACCGACATTTATTTCTTGAGGCTGGACTATTAAGTAAATTAAAATACTTTTCTTTTCACACCATTTACTCCATTTATTTCCTCAAAGAGATGTGTTTATGCGTGTAGCGTATATTTTTGACATTATCAAATACCCGCAGGCGTTCTATGTAGACTTTCGAATTACTCGGTGATAAGAATACAGCGAACTAAATACCATAAAGTGTTGAGCGAGTGATTGCACGTGATGGAGAAAATCGAAAAAGATCACTATGGAGATAGTTTATTGGTGTCAACTATTGCAAACGCACCATTTACTTCTGTATATAAACATCGAAATTGTTTCAAAAGCAAGTAATGTACTTATTTCAACATCATACTGTGACGATTTCTGATACAACAAATAAGATGTGATGATAGTATCGTTTATTTAATCCAAAGAAATCGCACCTATGCTGTACTTTCCTCGTCCTTATATAGTCATCGGTTCATACAGCATCACACCACAGAAAAATACCAAACTACAAAATAATATCTAAGATGATCTATTGCTATCACTCGGTGAGGTAGTGGGTCAACAGAGAAAGTAAAAACATATCATGCATAAGTGTGAAGCTCAAAGGCCGCCATTCAGGTATAAAGGCTGACATCTCAGTTTGAAGGTTGATATCTAATTACAAGCAGAAAGGAAGAAAACAAACGATAGCTGTATATACGAAGAGGAGAAAGAAAAGGAGAAGAGGAAGAAAGAAGAAGAGGTATACAGTCATAGATTGGCAAACACATATACGAAACAAGTTCGATGACAAAAATCAAGGAAAATGAAATCAATTGTATTCCATTGTCGCTAACAAATAGTTCAATGTTGAACCCTGTGAGTTCTGTTTCAAATCATGAATATCGTGAATCGCCACTAACAGTAAAGAATTGGTTAAAAAGCAAAACAAGAAATCCACAAGAAGGAATAAAGAATTACTTTCTGTCATTCTTTCCATTTCTAACTTGGATTTATCGATACAATTTCACATGGTTCTGGGGTGATATTATTGCTGGTCTAACAGTTGGTGCTATCGTTATTCCACAGAGTATGGCTTATGCTGGCCTGGCAAAACTAGCACCACAATTTGGACTGTATAGTAGTTTTGTAGGTGTAGTGATCTATTGGTTCTTTGCAACGAGTAAGGTAGATGCGCATAGATGATATAAACATCTACTTTAAATAGTTGTTCTCTTTTAGGATATCAGTATTGGACCAGTAGCTGTCATGTCAGCCTTGACAGGAAGCGTTCTAGATGATATTTATCGAGTCTATCCACAATATGAACTACATACGATCGCTTCTGCGCTCGCCTTATTAGTCGGATGCATTGTTTGCTTATTAGGAATTCTTCGTCTCGGCTTCATTGTGGATTTTATACCATTGCCAGCTTTAGCGGCCTTCATGACTGGATCAGCACTCAACATAGCTATGGGTCAAATCCCAACCATGTTTGGAAATAATCGATCATTTGATACACGTCAAGCAACATATCTTGTTTTTATAAATTTCTGGAAGAATATAAAATACTGTAATTTGAATGCTGCGCTTGGTTTAACAGCATTATTTCTATTATATGCCATTCGAGTTATTTGTACACAAGCAGCTAAACGTTATCCAACTCGAGAAAAGCTATTCTTCTTTATCAATACACTTCGCACAGCATTTGTAATTTTACTTTATCTATTGATTTCCTGGCTAATAAATCGTGAGCATGTGGATAAACCACGTACAGCTCTTCTCGGTGCCATTCCACGAGGTTTTCAAAATATGGGTGTACCGTATCTGGATAGCAAACTGTTCCTAAAACTTCTGCCCTATTTACCGTCAACTGTCATTGTTTTACTGATCGAACATATAGCTATTGCCAAATCATTCGGTCGAATTAATAATTATGTCATCGATCCAGATCAGGAACTAGTTGCTATTGGCCTAACTAATGTATTTGGTCCATTTTTTGGTGCTTATCCAGCAACTGGCTCATTTTCTCGAACAGCAATTAAATCGAAAGCTGGCGTTCGAACGCCGTTCGCTGGTGTATTCAGTGGTGTGATTATCATTCTTGCAATCTATGTCCTGACACCGGTGTTCTACTGGATATCACAAGCTAGTTTATCTGCTGTAATTGTACATGCTGTTGGTGATTTAATCATTGAGCCGCATACATTAAAACAATTTTGGAAAGTTAGTCCAATCGAATTCTTTATCTTCTGGGCTGGTGTCATTGTAACAATATTTTCCAGTATTGAAGATGGCATCTACGTTACTATTGCTACATCCGGTGCTCTTCTACTTTATCGTATTGCTAAAGCACGCGGACAGTTTGTTGGTCGAGTTCAAATTCATCAGATTGTAATGACAAGTGACAATGAAACACGCTCAGCGACAAGAAATATCTATGTACCACTCGATCGTTCCAATGGAATCAATCCAATGGTTATACCCATTTCACCTGGTAATGGAATCTTTATTTACCGAATCCATGAAAGTTTTCTCTATCCAAACGCTGCCCATTATACCGAAAAGATGGTTAATCAAATATTTATCGAGACACGGCGAGGAAAATCGGATTGCTACAGAAATCTCGGACAACAACCATGGAATCTACAAACAAGTCGACATCCCGAAAAAGATATTATACCAAACGATAGTCGTCCTCGATTACATGCACTTATACTCGATTTTACCGGTGTTCCACATGTAGATATAACAGGCGTCCAAAACTTAGTCGATGTTCGTCGACAACTGGATGTTTACGCTGATTGGCACGTGAATTGGCATTTTGTTGGCCTATCAAATCCATGGATAAAACGTGCACTTATCTCCGCTGGATTTGGTTCATCAAATAATGGACGTAATGTTTTCTCCGTTGCACATGCACCTACTGATGTCAACCACGAAGAAATTCATCTTCATGAAAATCATTCTTCAAGCACAAACATAATCTTTGTACCCATTCTCGATATCGATCGGCCATTGTTTCATGCGGATCTGGACGAAGCCTATGAAGCTGCAGTAAACAGTCTATCATCTCGATAGAAAGAAACTACTTCGATGGCAGACAGATAAAAATCTTTTTCGAGATTAGAATGTCTTTTTGACTTTTCTAATGAGACGAACTTCAATCATCACTAGGTTTTTATTTTGCTATCTGAAAAAAAATGAACATCGAAGTCTTTTTGCTCTCATCGGGCTTTGTATACAAAGAACAACAACAGAAGAAAAACGAACAAAACAATAACGATATTTTAAAAAAGCGTTCGTTCATGACTCTATTTCAATCACATTTCCATTGTGTTATTTCCTAGAAAAAGCAAACTAATACAATTTAATCGTAATTCATCAGTAAGATCTCTTACCAGAATGTTGTTCTTGTTCCATAGATTCTGTATTTACTTTATGACCATTCTGATGTTGCTTTTGTTCGTTGGAATTCGGCATTTGACCAGCTTGCAACATGGCTTTTAATCTTTCAACTTCTTCGATCGATTTTGCCTCCATAATCGCTTTTTTAATAGCATCAGCATCTTTCTTCGTCATTCGGGGAGCTTGTTGTTGTTGTTGTTGTTTAGCTAATTCTCCACCAGGTACAAATGTATTAGCTCCTTTTTCTTTCTTTTTCGCTTTTTCAGCCGATTTCGATTTATAAAGTTTACGAGCAGCTTCACGCTCCTAACGGAAAGAGAGAGAGAAAAGAATGTTACTTTCATAGAACTGAACACGAAAGAAAATACCTTTTGCGTTATTCGATTAAAATCAAGTGTCCGTAAATTAGGTAATTTGTGAATCACATAGAGACGGTAATCTTTCAACATAGCGATTGGATTTCGAGCAAAGCTAGAAAAAAATTAGTTTGCAGATGTTTCTTCTTCATTTTCATGCAAAAGTAAGTTTACCTAACATGAGTTAATTTTGGAATTGTTGCTAAAGGATCAATATCGGTTAGTTCTTGCAATGTGTTATTAAGAAGCATCAATGTATCCAAATTCGGTATGTACTCTTGGAGATTTTCAGCAATACGTCTAAAACAATGGATACGTTAATAAAAGTCCTGTGTTAGACATCTGCGAATGCGTCAAAACGTCTTACGCTATGCGATTGTTGGCAAAATAGAGTGTTTTGATTTTCGGTAGAAATGGAAATCCGTCCAGTTTACGTATATCATTATTAGTAAAATCAATTGTATCGAATTGATTCAAAGTTGCACCCAAATTCTCCACAACTGGAATCTTCAAATCTAAATCGATATATCAGATACTCTATCGAGCATTTAACCCTTTGGTGTTTACCTCGTAAACATAATTCATATTGACCGATAGGATTAAGATATTGCGAAGCGGCTTCAATAACTTCCGGCGTAAGTCGAACCATGATCTATTCTAAATTCTCTTCTGTTTTTCTATAAAACAAATCTGAAAAACTAAGATATACTAAAAAAAGAAACAAAATACGGTTCTTTTCATTTCCTAGTCATAACATGAAAACAATATATATATAGAAAAGTATTGTTTAATATGTTCGTTCGAGCGGTGTACTGATTGGATAACCTTTCGCAATAAGCATCTAAAACAATCATTCAGTCATTCATTAATCGTGGAACGAATATTGTTACGTACTCGTTTAGCTAAATGCTGTAAATGTTCATCTCCAGTTTGGTATCCATGTTCATTTATTTCTTTGGCGAGTTTATCGATTCTCATGCGTGCATGTTTACAATAGAGAAAAGTCATTTCAGTCTCGTGTTCACAGTTTTTCAAACCGATGGAATAAGCTCGTGAGGAGCGACCGAGCATGGCGGTCATTGCATAGATTTCGATTACTATTTCTGATAAACGTCGTAAATATAGCTGATTATCGATGATATCCCGTCCGGATTTGGTTAATGTTTCTTTTGTTACATTTCGTAAGACAAATATGGCATACTCGAGATCTTTTGCTGGTATACCTAATGATGGATGAACCTAGATAGAGAAGGCAATGGAATAAGTTTTGAATTCAGTTCGATCTCTACCTTTTCCCAAAGATCATGTTTGAATGTAAATGGTGCGCGGTATGCTTGTGCTTTAGATGTCCAGTTGGTTAGTAAATGTCGTAGTTTGGTTCCAGGAAAATGTATTGGATTACGAATTTTTCGTACAAAATCATGAACAGCTGAACTAACACTCATCACACCTTCCCATGCCGTTAATAAACGTAAAACGTCATTGGGCGCATCAAACATAGACCATGGACGAATATCACGAAGATATTGTTCGACTGGATGACCTATTTCAATGCCTTCGACGCCGAAGATTTCCAAGCAATCATTTGCGATACGATATAAACGATCAGTTGCAAAGATTTTTGCTAATGCTGACTCAATTGATATGACAGGCATGGAAAATGAGTCGAGTATACCACTTGTCAGATAAGTCATTGACTCCATTGTATACGTGTCAATTTCCATATGGAAGAGACGTTTTTGTATTAAACCTTGATCCATTAATTTACGACTGAAAGATTCACGTTGAATGGCACGTTCAGATGCTAATTGTATCAAACGTTTACCAACTCCTGTGCACATTCCTAAGAAATATAAGAATAGAGTAGAAAAATCGATGTTAATCTCAATGTTCGAAACGGACATACCTGAAAGTGTGGTTCGCACATAACCATGCAGATTTCGTAGTACATTCAAACCTTCGCCCAATTGTCCTATTGTGTGTTGTATAGCATTAACTTTGACATCTTTGAATTCGACATGTGTTAATCCGAGACCACGTAAGCCAAGTGTTGAAACAGGTGGAGATACTGTCACACCGGGCATATCACGATGAACGAGAAAGAACGAAAAACGATCATCATAATCATCGGATGTATAACGTTCTTTTGTTTTACAATAGACAAGAAATACATCAGCGTTCAATCCATTTGTTACCCACATTTTTGTGCCATTGATTGTGTACGTATTTGGATCAGTTTCACTAACAGTTGCAGTTGTTTGAATATTTCGTATATCACTACCACAATTGGCTTCGGTTATACAAGCTGTAGCAATCATTTTACCTTTCGCCATATCTGGTAAATAATGCCGTTGTTGTTCATCTGTTCCATATACGAGTAAACCTGAAATGGCAAACATGCGAGTACTAAAGTGGGATGAATAGAAAGAAAACGTACCCCTAACACCATATTCCGTATGTGTTAGCAGTTGAGTCGTAATTGTTGGACTGACGGCTAGTTCTTCAAACATTCGTACCGATGATTGACTGTTTAGACTAAGGCCACCTAAACAATCGAAATGAAAACAAGTCGATGTTAATTGACAATTCTTCTTTCTGCTCTTACCGAACTCTTCCGGTATTATTAATCCGTGTAATTTCAGTTTTGACATTTCTTGATAGATATCTTTGTCCACATGATTTTCTCTTTCAATCTTTTTCCGATCAATCTTATCTGTGAAATTTCTCAAACGTTCACATAATGAATTCATCTGTACAGATTCCGCTTTTGTTAATAGTTCAGGGTATGTCAATATATCACGATCGAATTCTCCATTAAAGACAACCGTCATATATTGAGTGTTAGTCGAGTCGACTGTTAAACGCTCCTTTCGACGTAAGACATCTAGTTCGTTCGTGTATTCATATTCTAAGCCTTCTTCTTCAGGACGTGCACGATCTTTGCGTGTCTCTATTGATTGTTGAGGCGCAGGTGGAACTCGTTCAGCTACTTGTTTATTGGACGCGGCCTTGCTTGATCTTAAGAAATAAATCAGTAGATATTGATGTTAAATGATGTTTCAGACTTACAGGAGTCGATTTATGTACAGATGAGCATATGATCGTCGAATCCAATGGGAAACTCTCAGTGTTTGCATCTTGAATTTTATATTAAATCACTGTTTCATCTGCAAAACAAGTAGAAAACAGATTTTATTGGCATTTATTCGATCGTTTCGGGTGTAACTAAAATATTAAATACGAGTCCATTACTACGAATGACTTTTAAATTTAAAGTACTATCTTCTTGAACACGCTTAATGAGATCAGCGCTGGTTTCAATGTCTTGTCCATTGACTTCTATGATAATGTCACCGGCGTGTAAACCAGCACGTTGTGCAGTTGAATTTGGTAATACACTTGCAATATAAACACCTCGACTGACAGAAAACATCATCGGCATACGGTAACGCATTTCTTCGATGATTTCTGGTGTTAACGAAAACATTTTGATTCCTAAATATCGCGTTTGTCGACGATTCGTTGCTGGCACCGCTTGTTTTTGTTTGCGCTTTTCAATATCCACTAGAAACGATTTAGCATAATTTATTGGCAAAGAAAACGATATTCCAGTCATCGCTTTCATCGAATTAATACCAATAACTTGTCCATCAAGATTTACCAACGGCCCACCACTATTTCCACTTGTAATCATACAATCAGTTTGTATATAGTTTATGTCACGTCCAAATAAACCTAATTCGCTACTCGTACGACCAACATTGGAAACAATTCCAGCCGTGACTGTGTTCGATAATGCTAATGGACTACCAACAGCAATACAATGTTCACCAGCACGAATGGTATCCGAATTGCCTAGTTCTAAATACGGTAATTTTTGATCAGGAGAATCAATTTGAACAACAGCTAAGTCAGCGACCATATCCACTGAAAAGCAACTTATTCGATATGCTCGTTTCAAACAACTTCGATTTTCTTACCATATTGTACGGTGCCAGTAAAACGTTGTCCGTTATTGAGTTTGATTTTAACGTTTTTCTTATTACGGACGACGTGTGCATTGGTCAGTAGTAATCCTGTTTCATTTATAATAAAACCAGAACCGTTCGTTGTACCATACGATGAACTAAAATGTCCATAATAGGATACGGGATCGAGATCAACTTCAATATGAACAACGGCTGGAGCGACATGTTCCACCACATCCGCGATAAAATTGTATTGTTTGGAATATGGAACTTTTTCGATTAGCGGCTTTTGATTATCAACTATGAGTGGACCTTTTGGTGTCGTAGGGATCGAATCGTCAGTTGACAAAGCATGCAAACGATAGTGTTTTCGAATTTCATAGAAACTTACAGAACCCGCAGCGAGAAGAAAAGCGAATGGTAAAGATGAATGGATTTTTCCTGAGTGTTGCTCATTCCTATTCGATACAAGAGATAGATATACTGATGAATATCTTTGATGGTTTGAAAGGATTCGGACACAACGAGATAGAACTGATTTCATGATTATTACCAGTTACCAGTGCAAGCAATGAGAAAAAAAGAATTGAATTGTATTGTTTGAGACATGTAACCAATCCAGTCGCTTGACTGGCTACCGATTTGATTGGTACAGGAAATAGCGAATACGAAGGAGATGTGCTCTCTTTCTTGCTTGCTTGCAAGTTTCGTAATGAAAAAGTTATTTTAATTTGTCAAATTAAGATAAATATGAATCGAGAAGAATTACTTGCCTTGATGAAACAAAAGGATGATATTGAAAGCGAATTACGTGAATTGAGCGATGAATTAAAATCACAGGACAATGTTGGAATGGCAGGAGAATTAGTTGATAAAGAGGGTTATCCCAGGTATGTAAAGTTTTGTCTCTGATTCTACCAATCTTTCTTTTTTTTTAACTGCGAAAAGAAACGATATCGATCTGGTTCGAGTACGTCAAATACGACAACGCGTCATTTGCTTACAAAATGATCACAAAGCATTGATGAAACAGATCGAAGCTGGTCTCATACAAGTTCATGAAAATAGTGCTAACAACTCTTCCAATACTACTGATGTAACAGTCACAACTTCTAGTCAAACAGCTCGCTCTAATAAGGAACCATTCCTCCGTGTTGATATTGTTAGCAATGAATCACCAGCTCAAGCAGCTGGTCTTCATGTCGGTGATTACGTTTGTCGCATTGGTACGATTCGAAAAGATAATTTTCGTACCATGCAAGATGTTGCATCATTGGTAAGCAATAGTGAAAATCGGTCGATTACATTGCTCATTGAACGTGGCAGTGCAAAGGAGCAACAGACTGTAACTTTAATACCGAAGAAATGGTCAGGAAATGGTTTATTAGGTTGTAAACTAACACCGCTAAGTTGATTTTTTTCCCTCTCAAATAAATATATCCTCTTTTATTTTTTATCGATTATAAACAAGAAAAATTGCGTCTCACATTTTCTGACTGAATCACACGCAAGTTTAAATAATAGAATGAAATCATCGTGTTGAGCTCACTTGACTTTGTCAAAGTCGTAATTGAATTGTATTCTCCAATATCACTATTTGCTAACGATGACAGAAACATGAAGACCTATTTTGCACTTCTCAGTCGACTTAAAAGCAAGTACTGTCAACAAACAGGATCATAAGTCACGTATGTCCTTTAGCTGCTCCTTTTCTTTTCACTTGCAATGTCGCACGCATGCTATAACATGACATGGGCACCAGCATTTCGTCCTATAGCACGAGGCTATCTAGCTTTAGCCATACCTGCACTTATATTTCATGTCCTATTCTGGCTACAAGTAGCTACACATCGTTCACTACGGCAATTATCTATGCTCTGGGTTTACAACTATCTTGTGGCTGACATGCTTCTACTTATTCAATTCCTTGTCGAATATTTTCTTCGTACATCGTTACCATTTTGTATTTCAGCGAAACTCTATTTGACATTCTGTAGTTTGGAAGCTTCTGCCCCTATTTTTTTTACCATTCTTGAAGCATATATGTTAGTTGGTTTGAATGTCACGCGATACTATTTAATTGTGAAAAACTTGGATATAGCTATTCGATTTCCTTATATTTTCGTTCTAATCTGTGTGTTTCTGTATTTTGTTGGCGCGGGCCTATTAATATTTCAAGTGGAACTATTTGGAACTGTGACGCTACATAAACATCAACATACATCGAGTTGCCATTTACAATACCGTACTATTACTACTCAATTAGTAAACTTAATCATTGTTTTGTTGATACCAATCCTGCTTAATTGTTATTTCGTTACATTAACAACAATACATGTTCGTCGGTCGCAGCGAGCTGTCAGAGCACAAGTAAACAAACCGATCTAGTTCTTATTTCGCTGTTTACCTCTCTGTTTTTCTTTCCAGCATAGTAAGCATTTACAACTACTAGTTCAATTCTTTATTCTATATATCTTGTGGTTGGCCTTGTGGGCGCCGAATGCGTTCGTCTCACATATAATTGCAGATAATTATCCGAGCATCTATACCCGTTTCGGAAGTATTACGTGTACTTTAGTTGGTCCGCTTATTTTCATGTTCATTGACCGGCGGTTCTTAAAAGTTTGGAAGCACACTTTGTATCGTGTGACCCGATGTGATCGACCCGTGAGACAGATTCGTCCATCAACGATTAGCCATGATATACATTTACCAACGATGATCAGGTGAATTAGCAGTAGTATTTTGACTTGTCAATTTTGAATTATCGTAAAACGAAGTGTGTATCGTCTGAAGTTAATGAATAGTTTCTAATGTATTTTATTTTATTAACATCCAGCAGAGAAATAGACAAAAATATTCACAGATCTCTGTTGATGAAGCAGACGAAGATGGAAAAATTTTCTCATTCAGTGTTGATGTTAGCTGGCACGATGCAGTGCTATTGCTCTCTGTACTACAGAGGCTTCCTTCAGGACATGAAATTTCCATCCAAGCTCCATTCTGACAAGTACAATAAGAACTTTGTTTCGAACAAATGATTTTACCACTTGTACACGGTTTGGAAGGAATACACGTGTCAATTGATGAATCAGTTATGGATAAAGTTGAAGTCGACGGCGATGAACTTTTACTTTGTATGATTTCTTTGATTTTATTTGTTAGAATCTGTCCGCTACATTTGCAAGTTAATTGATCAGGATTTTGACTATAGCATTGATTAAGTTGTATTTCATATAATTGATTCTCCATACAATATTTTTGACAAGTTGTTTTCCATTCAGGATACAGACATTCACCTTCTACATGGCTAATCAGAAATGCTAAAAGAACTAATAAACGAGACATTTCACTACACGATTGAACAACGAATGTTTTCGTTCATTGATCTCTTCGCCCGAAATCGACGCACTCTTCCCCGTAAACTTCGTTTACATATGCACGTCTAATCATGTTTAATCTCCTAAACCCACACTAACGAAACGATTGAAGACTGAATCAAATACCTCATACGATTCGTCTATGCATCGGCGTGCAATGTCTGCCATTTCTTTCCTATCAGAAAAATAAAGTATTCTGCGTTACGAGTTTATGATTTCTCAAATGATTACGATGTTTGTCTGTGTATGCCCCCTATCAAGACGGATATATCTGATTGGTCGGATATTAAGTACGCATACACAGGTTGTTTCTGTTTGTCTATCCATCGTATCTTTGTTTTATTTTAACTCATTGATGCTTTTAGCGCAATAGAAGTCATACCTTTTTGCAACGCGTGGGTGTTCATTTCAGATATTTACTTTCTAACCTTTACTCGAATATTTTGAACCAAAATCATGGGTAAACCAGCTGTTGTTAACATTGAATATTGTGGAGCATGAGGATACGATTCACGGTACGAGGCATTGCGTAAGCAAATTTTGCAACGCGTGCCTGATGCTACCGTGAGTGGTAGAGTTGGACGACGAAGTAAGTCGATTTTTTCATTTCTTATATGCATATACATATCTGCGGATGTTCTAGGTTCGTTTGAGGTGACTTTGAATAACAAAATCATCTACTCGAAACTTGACAACGGTCACTTCCCTGCCTTTGACAAGGTTTACTTCTTGAATGAATCGATTGACACTGTTCACATTTGATTTTACTCTAGATCGCAGAGGAAGTTGATAATGCTGCTCAAGGTCGTGATGTCCAAACTGTGACCGAAGTTGACAAGAGTTCATCTTGCACAATTCTCTAAAGCAGCCAGCCGTTCGTTCAAGTTGACACTATATCTTCATCGCGTCATACTCATACTTGAATATGTTTTCGCTAGCTTTGTCTAATCTCAAGTCTGTGGATTTCAATAGCGAGCAATCCTTTTATGATAGCTAAAATTTTAAATGAAACGGATTTTAGCTTGATCGCTCGTATATTGCTTCTATTGTCTTACGCAACTTGACCTAAACATACTCTCGTTTGTATAACGGATGCAAGAACAAAATTTTTTTATAATGCTTTTTCTTCTTTTGCAAAATATACATTTCTAAGATCTTCACTCTGACTAATAAACTAAATTTCAGATATATTTCGAAGAGAATCATACTCACTAATGTATCGTGAAACATTAGGTGCTACAGAAAAGTTTCTCAGAGACAAATATAACGCTACAGATGATGAAATCGCCCAATTAAATGATCTATACGCCTTTCAATTTGAAAAGCGTTCGTCAATACCATATCCTACCGTGTCAAGCAATCATCCATCGTTAGTATTAGATGGATTTCTCTACCATGGTGACGTATACCACGCATCGAATGGAAAATTATTGAAAGAATTGGACATCAAGCATATTATTGATGTGTGTGACTGTGAGCTGGAAAAAGAGATCGTTGATAATTTCAATGTCTTATGGATCAATCTCAATGATGATTTTATTGTCGATATAAAGAAATATTTTGAGACAACAAATCAATTTCTGTATGAGTGTAAAGAGAAGAAGGAGAAAGTGTTAGTGCATTGTCAAATGGGAATATCACGTTCGTCATCGATTGTCTTAGCTTATTTGATGAAGTAAGTTGCTCGATTTGCTGGTTTTTTTTCGAGAAAAAATCAATGGATCTCTTTTGATTTAGATATCACCATGATACTCTAAAGAAAGCGTACGATTATCTACTTGAACGACGTCGCGTTGCTGGTCCCAATGCTTCATTTCTTTTACAGTTACTCCGCTATGAGAAAGAATTGCGCGCTAATAAAGAAATCGATGAGAGCAAAAATAACGATGATAAACTAAATCCATTCGAAAGAGTCGATATCAACGAAACAGCCACTGTCTCGAACACACAAACAAACAATGATCAAATGACATAACTAGATCTATTTTCTTTACTATGTTTTACGGTATTAAGAATAATGTTAAAGTCTTCCTTTTGACATATAATCGTTTGAGTTTTGTGAACCCGATATATTTTTGTATCTATCGATTTGATCTGCCGTCGTCTTTAAGCATAATAAATCAGATATCAAACAAAGCACACAATCATGCTTGTCAATCTCGAGATAATTCTATTGACGTCGATTAAATCCAACACTGATTCGGATGAAGGATCTCTTGAGGAGAGGCAGAACGAGCAGTGGTAATTCTGTTTCTTGTTAATAATGATATAAATAAATAGAATGATAGAGGAAGACACGATACAATAAAAAGAACTTAGAGAACAACTAACGAAATGTTAAGAATAGATCCAAAGCAAAAGACATCAGATTGAAGCGATTATGATATGTATGAGAATGATCATAAGATAGTACTGTTAAAATCGAAAGACGAGAAAGATTATGGATATGCTAAAGACGGAAAATGAAAACTGAAAATCATAAGAGTCACTAGAAAAATAACACCGAGTCATCTACTTAGTCATTTTGTGTTTGAAATTATAAGGTAAGACACGAGATTAAGAAAGAGAAGATATAAGACTTGCAGAAAAGGAATACTACAAAGTCACAAGAGACAATATTGATTAGCTACTGATTGAGGGAATGCAATTATTCAAAGTTTACATCGACTCCGGTAAAATATAGGAGATATCATCCCACGGATGACGATAGAGACCTTGTCGAAGACGTTTTTGATCCAGAAAATGGCCTTAAAAGAGAATAACATTTTAGATTTTACTTGCGCAAACAATTTAAACTGAAGATCCCTCACCAATAAATCCCATACTTCGACCAAGAACAAAGAGCCCATTCAATGCTCCGTCTTCGATGAATTCAGATGCTTCTTCATGTGTAAAGCAACCACAGTTGCGTAAGAGATCAACCATAGCTACACCGATGCAACCGTCAACGTTTAAAATCAGATTAGGTTTCTAGAAAAACCAAGTTCATTGACATATTACACGATTCAATAAAATACTACCTTGCTAACGGTAATTTTTTCAACTTCAAGTGCGTAATCGAGTAACGGAGTTGCTGGAAAATGTTCCTTGGCAAATTTCTTGAGAAGAACAACACGCATATCAGGATTATTCAACTAAATACAATCGGATTTCAATAAAAACTTAGCTACTTAAATATATTTACCGATTTAACTCGATGACCGATACCCATAATCAATTCTCCTTCCTTTCGCATTTTATTGACAAAATCTGCTGGATGTAAACCTGTATCAAATGCGTGGCTAAACTGTTTTGCAGCATTGTCAAGTGCTCCACCAAACCGATCACCCTACAGAGTTCACATTATGGAATATAGAGATTCTCTCCTGATATCCATGCTTACAATTGTCAATAAACCGGAAGCTAAACATGAAACCAGATCTTTACCAGCACGTGCGCATACGATTGTATTGTGTGCACCGCTAACAGCAGGCCCATGGTCAGCAGTAACCATCAATGTCATTTCAAGAAATTCAGTTGCATATTTTGGTAAACTACAATTGAGAAATCGTCATCAAGAACGAGAGACTTTTACATTCAACAAACCGTTTGCGAAACCAAAGTAAACTAAGTACACCGCCAATACCCATATTTTCTTTGATGACGTCGGTGATGGGCATGCCAGCGTATAATAATTCTTGACCACGATCGTCAACAATACTTGTCATGAAACTAGCCGGCTTACGAATTAAACCTAATTCCTAAGAGAAAAAAAACGAAGAAGAATACAGTTTGAACGAGAAATAAACGTGTATTCGAACATACTCGAGCCCAGTCATAATCCATGGGCACAGAAGGTGGTAATACATCTGGTTTCGGTGTCAACTGACCACATCTTTTAAGTTCTTCGAATACCACGCTAGACGAATATCGTGTAACATCCCCATTCAATACCAGTAAAACTATCTCTTACTGAATTAGATCACCAAGTTCATCAAAACTATTCGGTACGTAGGCACCGGCATTTTGTAAAGCTTTGTTTTTGGCAATAGCTGTTTCCCGGTCATTGTCAGCATGTGAACCAGCATGACCGAATTGCACTTCAGATGTAAACATTGACGCACATGTACCAATGCACCAAGCAATCAGTGGCTTCTTAATACGTTTTGATTTGATTGCCTCACAGATATGGTACTCTTCGATACCACCAACCTATTCGTCATAAACATTCACCATGATAGCAGAAGAGTCTACCGAAAACAACATACTTCACCGAGAAGAACAATAATTTTTGCTTCAGGATCATCTTCATAACGATATATATGATCAGTAAATGTCGTACCCGGATAACTACAATAGAATTTATGTTCGACATAGCTCAAACAATTCAAATTACCGGTCGCCGCCAATGGCAATGCCCTCGTAAACACCGTCTGAATTACGTGAAATGATATTATTTAATTCATTGGACATGCCACCTGATCGAGAGACGTATGCAACACTAAAATATACGGAATCATTCTTTTTCTGCCTTTTCAAATATCAAGCACTATTCATGTCGTACCTTCCTGGTCGATAGAGTTTCGACATGAGAATATTGTCAAGCATACCACCAGTATGTCCAATTTTGAAGCAACCCGCTTTTAAGCCGCCCACCTGAATTATATAAAGGTAAAAGAGAGAAGTTTTATCAGAAGGACATCTGCGATGAGTTTCGTACAGTAGCCGGTCCGATAAGAAAAACATTTTGCTTGTTTGCTAAACGCAACATACGTCTTGTTAACTGTTCTGGAATGCCTTCAGCAATAATTGCAATTGAGCGAATCTAGAGATCGAAGGAAAAAGTCGACCAGTTTCGACTATGATCTAGTTCATTTGATTTTACTTGTGGATATTTTAATGTTTCCATTGTACTGTCGTATGCCGAGCGTAATGATGCAAAGTTAATAAGTACATCCGCGTCTGGATGTCGTTTCATACAGTCAGCCATGTTTTTATAACATGGTAGAAGAATTTCTTCATGGCCCCAATAAAATTTTTGTTTATGGTCACCGGTAAATGGATAAATCATTGCCACGACTGATGGGTGTGATCGACGGCATACATGATCAAAATCCAGCATACCTTGAACTGCCTAAACGGGGATGATATTGTTTAGAAGATCTGATGGTCAACTTCTCAAGAAATTACTTTTGTTTGCATGCCCCAGACGATAGCTTTTGTTGTATTCGAAAATAGTGGTCGAGCCAAATTGAGTCCTCTTATATCATCGTTAACTTTCGATGTTGTAGATGACGCATTCGTAGCTGTATTGGAATCGTCACTTTTCTGTAACAGAGAAAATTATCAGAGAAATATATGAAGTGACTAATCTATAAACAAAACATAAAATCAAATCATCGTACGTACCATGGCTGATTCCTGATCGAGACTTGTGGATTTATTAAGTCGTTTACGTTCTTCGTCAAATTTTGTCGTATGCTGCTAGACAAAATACACGAACGTGCAATACTGGTAAACACAAAAGCAAGTATATGCAGTTATATTCTTTTTTTTCGCCAAGCACCCTGGATTACTGTTAGATGTATTATTTTCTCAAACTCTTACTTCACTCATGTCGCGTATAGGAATCTAAGAACATATACGATTAAACATCACCATATGAAACAATATCGACTAATAAAAAATAATTAATATACTATAATACTCACATTGACACTAGTTGGAAGTAAGAAATTTGCCGTAGTTAATTCTGCATGTTCAGGAGGGGCAATAGGACGTTTTCCTGGTTGGAGTGAAAGAGAATAAGCATGATGAACGATGCTGAGCATGAAAAAAAAAGTAAATCATACCTAATGCCATGCCAACAATAGCTGTCATGTGTGTTTCCGGCCCGAAGACATGAATAGGAATGCCAAGTGATGCTCCGACTTCACGCATAACACGTAAGCCTTCCTGATAGTTTGGACCAGCACGACGAACAAAAATTGACACTTTGGATTCGATCAGATGATCGCGAAATTCTCTTAAGGCTTTGACAATGCCCTACAATGAACTTGCATTTTGATATTGACTTCTCTTCCAAATAGACAATAGTGGTCACCTTGAACGTCGCAGCCACATTGGTAAAGTTGGCAATACCACCGCCAATAATCAAGATTTTTCCTTCAGGATTTTTCTCTTTGATCATCAATGATAAAATCGTTTTCGCATACTCATATGTTTGTTGTTCGCTTGGTGCACCTGAATATTCGCCGTAGTTAGCTAATTCAGCAGCAAAGCCCATATCGCAAATAGTATCACTACAAATTTCAAGTATTCTTCTTTGAAAGTATTCATTTCAGATTGCATACCTGTAGATAACTGATGCTCCGCCACCAGCGACCATTGTCCAGACCCGACCTTTAGGATTAAGAACAGTTAATTTTAATGACGCGCCCGATTTGGCATCGAGTTCAGCTATATAAGCTTCCTGAATAGGCAACACATCATTAACTTAGATTTCCATCGTGAATGAAGAAAATTATACTTCAGCATAAGCGTCTCGCCCAAAGGGCGGTGGAAATTCAATATTGCCCCATTTGGATGCACACAAATATTCAGCAGTTTGATCAAGACGACTGGCAAGATCAAGCACATAAACTGTATTGGATGTAACAACTAGTGGATTGATTTCTAAATATGTAAATTGTAATTCCATATAAACTTGAAACAATTTGCTGATGAATGCTGATAAATGTCTGCAATATTCGAAGATTGAGTTTGACATATCAATCATTTTTTTCTCCTTACACTCGTCGATCAGCAGGAACGTGTTTTAATAAAGCTGTTTCCATTTTCTTATCATCGAATGACTCGTCAATCAGAATTGAGTACTGTAAACCTTTCGAATCAACATCACCGACATCAATACCACCTTCGTGATGGAAAAGGATAACCTCTCCTTCACGATTCGAGTAAATGCAGATATACATTTCATCGGTTTTCTCATGTGCAAGGTAAGGCTCAATGATGAAGTGTTTCAATTTTCCTGTTGTATGACCGATCTTAAAACAGAAAATGATTTTCATTCAGAATGAAATCATCCTACCGATATCTCTTTGCCAAGTGTTTCCGAGATGAAATCTTTTGCTCCTTGAATAGTGACATCACCTTTGATAAGACCGAGTTTTCCACGTCGCTTAATCAATTGATCAGGCTTAACCACTAATCGCTAAAACGCGGAACAAAATACTTCTTTTCTTTTTAGGCCTTTGAAATCAATAGGGATCCGTGATTTACGAACCTCACTTTCCAACCAACGATTGTTTGCGATGAGATCATTCCAGTTAGTATTGGCATCAACGCTCACGCAGCGACATTCGGCTGCAGTTGAACCAAGATACTTGTTTAAAAGTTTTTTACCGGTTGCTTCATAAATAGCTTTTGTTGACATGATTTCTAGTGTTCTAAAAATAGAAGAAATCCTGTGGACATTAAGAGCAAAATGAAATGGTGAAGTGCATTTGACGTTCATGTGTTTTATTTCGTCTTCGCTTCTTTCAATCATTTGGTAAACATCAAACTAGCGACAAGCGGATTCGGTAAATACATGTTTCACTAGAAAGAAAAACAACGCATCAACTACCACCGCCATCTAGAAGTTATGATTCTCTGAACACAATCACTGAGAACGAATCTTTTTACGGATTCGATATTTAGTATTAATCATCATAGATACTACTGCGTATATGCAGCATCCTTACAAACAATAGTACGAAAATGACTGTTTGTATGCTTAGTTAAAGTTACTTAAAAGGTAACTAGCCCGAATTACAAACTCGAAAAGAATAAATATTTTCTATGCAATGACTCTAGCACATAACTACACTTTTTATCACTTGTTTTCGTAAGCGAGTTGTTTGAAGCGTATCACACAAACTGTAATCGTTCTCCCTCAAACGCACTCTTCTCTGATGGCATCCAATTTAGAGCATTGTAACGTTCTAGTAATTGCACACTACTGCTTCGTCTGATAATTAGCTTATTTATTCCTTCCCTTTAAGAATATCAATATTAAAATCTAGATTATGAATGAAGCTTTTGCTTTCGATAATTTCTTGTTCGTTTTCAATAATTGGTAAATGATCAGCTTGACTATCGGTATGTAAATTAGTAGTAAACACAGACTGAAGGTTTGTTATGGGCGATGATTGTTGTCGTTGCGTCGAACGAATGGGTCGATCCATCGTAGTATTTAATTTCTGATTGAATAAAATCGTTCGATCATAAATTTCTTCCCGACGTTGTTCGATGGATCTAGTTAAACAGCTAGTGCTTGAGATATCTTGTCTTGATTTTAAAATCGGAGACGAAAGATTTGTTGATGGTTCAACCTTTTCCTCTTTGATACTGATGGTTTGAAAAGCGTCATTGTTGACGGAATCGGGCATTGACTTTGAGGATGCTTGCTGATTTTGTTCGAACTCATCCGCAAATGAAAGCACTGGTGGAATTATTGGTAGAATAGGTGCCATCGAATCTTGGAGGGTTGATGAATGATTTTCCGACTCGTGTAGTTTCTGTTGTTGCCGTTCTTTAGCACGAAGACTGGAAAGAAGATGGGGAAAGTGAATGGAAGAAATCGGTTCTGAATTACCGCATATTCTTTTTTCGAATTAATCTTCGTAAATTTTTCTCTTCATCGCTGAGTTGTTCGATTTTTTTGCTTATTTCATCGATTTGTTTTTTTATGTTACCATTCTCAAGCGATGACGATGCTGGATCCATTGTGTTTTGTTTTAATTGTTGTAATAGTTTATTCTGCTCACAACGAAGTGCTTCAATTTCAATGGGAATTTGTTCAACTTTCGCCTTCGAGATCAAACGATTAAGCAGAAAGTTTTTTCCTTTACGATGCTTACTTCACGATTATGCCACATCAATCGAAAGGTATCTGGATCTCTTTGCCGGGTCGTTGGCTTTGTTAACGGTATATTTAGTTTCAATTGCTTGGCTGGTGTTGTATCGCATGTCAGCACAGTTAATGGTCTATGTTAAGTGATCGATTTCACCTTATGAAGAAAATTGAAGCGAATGATATTACCGTTTGAGAATATTATTGTTCGTCATGCCAATATTTTGAAGAACACGTCGAGTTAGGTGCAATAACTCATCGCGACGAGTTAGAAATTCTAAATTCAGTAATACTGCAAGTAGATATCGATTAGTTATCGAAGGAAAAACCTGGCCGATGAAAACAGATAGCAGCTGCTGCTTCATTGATTAAGATCTAGAAATCATCTCTCGCTAGAATCATCAGAAAACGTTTTTGTTCAGTGGGCGATTTACTTCATTTAAACTCAGGAGTTCGTTTGGCTTCTTCGAATCGAATCGATTATCTAATTTGGATGAAAGCCTTCAAAAATAGTAACTCGAGTAAATTCTTACAAATCGCTGAGTATTTTCGAATACGTTGCCAACGATCTTCAAAATCTCTTGGTAAGTTCATTGTTGTCTACGGAGAAATGAAATCTATGCACGACGTCATCTTTATACAGGAGCCCTACAAGTAAATCTTTTGAAATATTGCTTCGTCCATTGGATTGTTTCATTGCTGTCAATGGTAACAACTTCGCCAACCGTTCCGCTTCGTCAGCAATCAATTTTCGCTGGCTGTCATCCAATAGTTGGTGAGTATTGCTGGTTTTACACGTATCCATTGTCTAGATGAATAGTTTACTTTTGAAAATCAAGCACAATTTATACTTACACTCCACTCTGACGATATATGATTGAGAAGTTTCATTGAATTGTTCGTTGCTATCGAATGTCGATCAGATGATGATTCTCGTGCACTTGGTGAATAGGGATGATTGACTTCAATCTCACCCATCGACTGTCGGTAATCATCCAGGGCTTTTTTAAATCGTTTTATGTGTAGTGGTTTCGATGCCATTCCAACAAGAGTAATGATCTCTTGGAAATCATCATTCTGCGCTTCTGCAAGTTGTTTGAGATCATCACCGCCTAAAAAATTGACCGATATAGTTCGATGTTTTGTTCGAAAACGACTGAAACCTTGTTCAATAAAAGCTGAATAGTATTGTAAAAGATTTGCTTGTTCAAGAAATTTGAATAGAGCGTCTTCAAGATAAGTTTTGGGCGTCGATATCGCGGCATGTTGTGTGCTTCGATAGAAATCTGACTCCCGAGAAGATTGTTGGTGTGATTCATCTAGAGATGTCCCATATAAGACAAGATTTACAATGAAAATATCAATTAGAATTTATTCGTACGAGTTGCTGTTTGATATTTTTGATTTAGACTCTTATGATCGATCGTAGATACTTGGGATAATTGCACTGAATCATCCGAGGAAAGATTATGATCAACTTCATCCTGTTCTGTTTGTTTACGTTCAAAACCTAGTTTCGATGTCGTAATACTCTTATTTGCATTTTGAATTTGATGTAATTTATCTATTGTACTCAGAAGTCGCTTGGCTTTGGTATCAGTAAGTGTTGATGATGTCGCTTCTGACGACGATGAATTCGAGGGTAATATTGGCAGAGATGACGATGTGGCCGTCTGTATCGGTACCTTTCGATTGATACCCAAATCTGGTAGTAATGTGATAACGTGATTGTGATCATCGGACAAATTCGAATTGGGTTTTGTTTCAGTAAAAATCGTCGGGATAGCCGTTGCTTTTAGATATCGTGTCAATCCAGTGTGATTGGCAATGTAGTCGTCTGGATGGAAATGTCGATAGCAAATTTTCGAATGTCTATTGAGCGAAAGTGTTTGGGAACAATGATTGATTACAGTTTGACGCCATAATTCAAATCGATGTTGATCAACAGGAAATGAATGAAAAAGAAGTCCTGATTAGAAATTACAATACAATTCGATGCAAAGAGTGAATATCAATTTGTACCTTTGCGTATATTTCGTCGGTTATGAAGTGGACAACTTATTATTGCACAATTATGTACCATTGCGAGTAATCTCAATCTTTATTTGTTTTCTTCCGGTTTGTTATCTGTGAATGTAACGACAAAAAAATCGTTTGTTAGTCAGTAAAGTAAAATGTGCATGGTGATGATGATGATGACGATGATTCGACCTTATTAAGAAGAAAACTATCTGAGCCTTGAAAGGCGCATTTATTTTGTTAGATAGGAACTCATACTCGCGCCAAAATCCGAGGACTAATCACCGAGATTTGGTTGTTCTTCTAAAACGCGATACGAACACACTTACCACAATAACTACTACAGAGACTAGTCATCAGAGATTTGATTGATTTTGAAAATATGGTTTTATCTTTTACAAGAATGTACTGAATCGAATGTTTTCATATGAACTATACATTAGTACTTAATTGAATGAAATCAGTCGATAAAATCTTCACATTATGCTGATCCAGTAAATGTCTAAGTATTATTGAAGTAGAATCCATGAGATGTGACGATCCTCTAACATAAAACGAAGTTGTTAATTTAAATTAAAATACTTTCACAAATTTCTATCTTTGTCATCATTTGAATGTTAAAATATGAATAGAATACCGTGTATACGGAGTTATTACGATCAGGATCGTATGTAATTTACACGCGGATAATATAAAATTCATCTATTACAGAAGACGGAATACGAGTATAGTTCAACTAATGCAGCATAATCAGGCGTAAATCTGAACCAGACATTCTATTATATTCTTTCTCTATAAAATATCGAGGTCTGACTGAGATAGTTCTGTTAATGACAAGAAAACAGTCTCTAATTCTGATGTAATCTTTGTTTCGATCTTTCTCACATGTCTGTAAGTGTCTTTTGCCATTATTTAAGAAAACTTGTTCGTGTGTGAAAATCAGTTGAGAACGACATCTCTCGGAACATAGTACATTTTTTTGTATAACAAAGATTTTTCATTAAATGGTTCTGATACGTTTGTTTTTTCTTGTTGATTTTCTTTCTTTGGTCGATCTTGTTTGAAGTCAATGACAAAATTTACTCGTTAATTATAGTTGAAAATTTATTTTAATACGTAAGTTTTCCAAAGTTACAAAAGAAAACAAGTCTTATACGCACCTTTACTTCAAACTATCTAATCTTTGAAAAAAAAACAAACAAGCGTTTTATATCAATGCCGCAAGCTGAAGTATACGTCGGAAATATTGCTCGTGAAATTTCCAAACAAGATCTTGAAGAGTAAATTTGTTATTTCAGGAAAACTTAATCTATTTCGATTAATCATTAGTATCTTCGAAAGCTATGGACGCATCGTTCGATGTGAACTGAAACAAGGTGCATCAAGTACGGTATCGATTCTTGTATATTCTTTTTTAATGCCTTGTTCTTTTGTTAATGTAGATTACGCTTCGAGTTATGGTTTTCTTGAATTCGAGTCAACTTCTGATGCCGAAGTATGTAATGTCAAGGAAAAAAACTTTTGAAAACAAATCTACCAAAGAAATATGAATATATAATGACGACATTTTTTGTTCTTTTGTAGAGTCATATCATGCATCTCTGAGCCCTCTTTTTCTGTACTTTCCACGCACATCTTCGAGTCATTGCTATCTGATGAACAATATGTAACATCTCATAGAAACATTTTAATGGGAAATGGTGGTGATATTTCATACATCCGCAGAATATGTCCTCATTTTTCGAGTTGTTTTTCATTACTGTGACATCAGAAGGTATGTCGAGTTATATGAGAAAATCATTATTTCGATTGCATTTCTTCGTGCACATTTTCCTAACCAACCAAAGATTTGCTTAAGCATTACTGACGAGTTTTCTTTGACATTTAGGCTGCAATCAATGGAGAGAATGGTCGAGAACATCAAGGTAAATCCTTAATTGTTCAATGGGCACGATCGTCGAAACGTGGACCACCAGGAGTAAGAACAAATGAGTCTTGTTTTTTTGCAATTATCTCTTCTGGAATTGTTAGAATGGCGGTGGTAATCGGAATAATATGCAATGTTATAATTGTTTACGAACTGGTCATATGTCTCGCGATTGTCGAGAAAGTCGTCGAGGTGGCAATCGTAATGATAGTAGAAGAGGTTCAAATTACGACCGAGGCAGCCGTCGTCGACGTACTCCGTAAGAAAATATTTTCTTTTTGAATAAGTGTGCCATATCGTATTTATTTTTCAGTTCTCGATCTCGATCTCGATCTCGTTCCCGCTCCCGATCACGTAGTCGAAGTTAATTGATGTAAAACATTAATTATCCAACGAACAATGTTTTTCTGCGATTCATTCATTAAAAAAAAATAACCTTCGTAAACGAGCTTTTTCTTCTCATGCAAAAGTGATCATGTCTTGTACGTGTAGTTACATTTCTTATGTTCTACAAAGCCATCGAGATGATAACTAGCATAAGTAGAAGAAATTTCTGGGAATAAATACGGAAAAATCGATATCATCAATCAATGGATCTACTTGTATCCAGATGCCATTCAAGTTATTTATAGTAAGGCCAAGGTATTGTCAGACCATTCTTCCAGATAAAAATAGTTCGAAAGGATTTGGTTATTTTGACAAACTAAAGACGAAGAAAGAATGTCCTGATTTTCTTGTGTGTTTGTCAAGAGATTGTAACTGATTATTGAATAATCGCTCGATATTTTCCGAAAAAAACAACAACAAAACAAGATTGATTCGATAAAACGCAAAATGAATCAAAGAAAAACATAGTTTGTTATCTACACACGGGAGTTGTTTGATCGGAAAAGATCGATTAAACCAATGTAAATATATCAGATTACTGAATAATATTGACGAACAAGCATATTCAGTTGTCTTGCTTATCAAAGACGTTTCGAACAGTCATAATTAACAGGATTGATTCCTCTCTTGACGACACGACTTGCATCGTCTTCGGGTTTTTGTTTTTTCGCTAAACAGAGATTTTTGTTAGGCGTGAATGTTTCTTTTTTTCCATTTAATTCTGTTAATTTGCTGATTTCCTGGATGCAAACTAGTACTGCTGACGACGACAAAGCTGTCTCGAAACAAGATCAGTTGTACAGAAACGAGATATAGCTTCTTTTTTCTGGAGCAACTCGAATCAATATTGCAAACAACATGACTATATTGAAACAGTAGGAAAAAAAAGGAGACATCATGCAGATTAGATTCCATAGAGGGAAATTAATTTTTTATTTGTTCTGCCTTTTCTTTTCCTTTTCTTCTGACTAGCTATATGATCGAGGCGTACAAACGACATGCATGCTTACATACACACAAACACATATTGAGGGAGAAACGCACTTTGTGATCTTCTGTTCTTTCTTCTCTTGAATTTATTTCCTTATCTTTCTTCTGCAATCGAATATTATTAACTCATATGGGATCACTAGCTACCGATATTTCCTCGAAGATATAGGTAACAAATTGCTATGTCGTCAAGCGCGAATGACTCAACTGGAAATCCAACTCGAACGGGTTTGCCAAGATCACTTATGATGACAATCATATTGTATTTGGTTGTCAATCTTTGTGTTCACATTCTATTCTTTCTAACAACAGTTTATCATAATTACTGGCAAATATTCAAAATTTCCAAATCTTTAACAGATACCACCCAGAACAACTTGAATTCAACTTTATCGTTGGATATTGAGCAATCATCATCCGATGTTCTTCAACTTGAGACATCCAAACCTTGTCTGAAGAAGAAAATCTTTTCCACATCTTCTTCATCGTCGTCATCGTTATTATCACACATGATTCTCGAATCGGAAACCATGCTAATTCGAACCATCCGATCATTCGGTCTATTTCTAGTTACATCTCTTCTCATCGTCAATTGGCTGTGTGTGTTCATTTATCTATATCCAATCTTTTATTCAAACTCTATCCAATATCCGACAACTCTATGTATTACCCAAAGTTTCTTTCTGCATGTCTTAACATTATTTCATTTGAATTTAACTATTACCATTCGACTTCTCTGGTATTTGTGCTTTAAATTTAATCGATATTGGCAGACAATAACCTACCGTCGTTTATTCGTGATTTTATTCGTTTTATTCGTATACTTATGCATCTTCACTTGGCCGACAATAACGGATGAGTGGGCGTCGATCCGATTTGATTCCATTCTTCAAATCTGCATTGTTAATTATATATTTCGTTTATCATATACATTTTTTGTTTTATCATTCACATGTTTTATTCCATACTTTGTTTTGATCTTGGCACATTATCGTCAAATGAAATGTATCCAACGGCGCATAATCAAATATCTACTGACATTCAAAATCGATCAACATCAGCAAGATTTGATTTACGAACAGCAAAAACGATTCCAATCTGCTTCGTTGATCATCTTGATTTGGACATTATGTAACATTTTACTCTTAATCTTTATTCATGTTCCAAGTGAACATCAATTTATGATCAAATCAGTTATATTCTATATTCAAATGCTACGATTCGTTCTTGATCCGATTTTGTATATGTTCGTGTTTCGTTCATTGTCGATAATCACATTACTAAGACCGACAAGCGAAGTGTATTTCTAGATGAAATATTTTGATATTTTCGAATGAAATTTTGCTGTTTGTTTTTCTATTTTTCTTTCAAAAGAATTCAATTAACCTCAGGCGAACAGTTTCGCTAATTGAATCTTAGCTTTTGCATTCAGTCAAATCAAATAGAAGAAAAGAACTCGTTCGAATATTTCATCTTACCATCGTATCGGCAAATTATCGAAGTTCAATGTTCCACGATTTATTCATACGAATGAAATTACAGAAAAACAATGAAATGCAAATCCACATTTGTTTCGTTCTTGTCAGACGTCGAGGAATTTTATTTTTTAATTTTCGACATGAACTTCATACCAGCATTGATAACGGTACTTCGACGTCGATTAAATTTCTGTGAAGAATCTAGTGAGGGCAGTGTCATAGGTTGAAAATTACCGTTCTCACTACGAAATGTATCGCTTGCTCCGTAAAGATTTTGATATA